CTTTTAAAACAATTGTCAAGTGGGGAAGATAGTTTGTGCAGTTGAATGTTTACTTTATTTAAATGAGTCAACTGTCCCTGGAGGGTTCTGCAGATAAAGTATGACTAACGCTTTTTTTCGGAAATAAAAATTGCACAATGTGTGAATCAATTATCTCACATGCTTCATGTACATGTGCAGGCGCAGGCCTAGTACATGTCATGTGCAACATAGGCTGGGTCAACTTCGATGGTGCTAGTCAGATTTATTGCACAACAGTACACCATTGCAAGATTAAACAAAAAGGGAGATTTATAAAAATTTACTGTATTGCACATGTGCATACAGTGTATTGCATGAATCTTAAGAGGGTAGATTGTAATAGGTGGTTAGTGGTTATTTTTTATCGCCAATTTTTTATATTTCATGATGATTTTGAAATCCAAAAGTACCAGTACATATCGTCGCCTGGCTGGCAGAAGGGCGTTAGCTCGAATTTCAGGTCAATAGTGAAACTTTAAGCAGAAGGGCGTTAGCACTTAATCGCCTCAAACTTTTATAAAACTGACTTATTTCCGAGAAAAAAATTGTGGCCGTGTTCTACTACAACATTTTTATTAGTCTTTTATGTTTTAAATCAATTTTCGGGATGGAAAGCAGTTTGAATATAAAACTAATCTTTAGATAAGAATAATTTGAAAAGTAGTTTTCGAGTCGCTCGCGCGCTAACGCCCTTCTCCCACCCGGCCGACGATATGGTTACCCTTGGCACAATTTGCTACATGTAAGGTGATTCTTGCTGCGATTCCAAGATAAAGTTCCTTCTATTCTGAAAATTGGCAAGAAATGCATGTATTGTAATGTGCTTCCTTGTTAATAACATGTATTGTGTCAATATGGGAGGGAAAAAATTTAGTTTCTCCACAAGTCTGTCTTTGCCATGAAAATACTTTTTTTGCAGGGAATCATTTCCCTGTATTTATGGGACATTGCTGAAATCAAAATTATAAGCCCTATCCCCCAAAACAACAAACAAACAGTGATATCAAAATGCAATGAGTACAGTAGTATAATACATGTATGTACAAACTGTAGGCTTGTGTGGTATGTGAAAGAAAGAACAATGTACATGTAGATTCAATACCTTTTACAAAGACGATTTTGTTTTTCTCCTCTTTCTAGCATTACATGTACACTGTACATGTACAGTAAATGTCACAGTATTGTCTGGCATTTGGCACTTCCCTGTTTAATCTCTCTTCCAGTGTTTCATCTTTGGCTTGAGTGAGCCTTTGATTTATGGCTGTTGTTCAAACTGTTTTATGTATTGACAAAGCCTGTGTAAATGGATATAATCTCATCCATTGGCAGCCCTTCATTCCAATGCTGAAATGTTATTGCATGGAATAGTTGGCAGAGCAGCCAGCACCTTGTGTTGTGTTGTGTTATAAGGGTTTTATTATGGTTTTTAGGTCAAAGGTCAACCATCCACTCCAATCAGCCTGGTCAGATGAGAAGCCCATGCCATGCATTCTCTCAATGTTAATTGCCTTGTGTTGGTGAAGGTCATAGAACTTGGGCTGTGCTCACTAACATTACTTCAGTACTCAAATGTGTTCCTTGGCATACATCATGTACACCTTTTGTTTGCTAAATTTGTGTACAGTATGTACGAGTATGTTGTCTTATGCAAATTTTACAAAAGTTATTCAAAAATAACTTGTATCAAGTTCCCATCAGCCCTTTTATAAGGGTTTTCTTTTTATCCGGGAGCTTTTGAAATCAGTGAAAACAATAATTCAGCCTGAAGAAGAAGATGGGATACTTTGATATTAAACAATCAAGATGGTTGTATTTCAAATTATCTCCTACCAGGGGTACATGTATTTCAGAGGGCAAATTTGCCCCCCCCCCCCCCCATTTTCTCGTACATGAACAATGTACTTTGAGGGGAAAAAGGTGAGTGGTATATAAAGTACATGTATACATGTATCACATTAATTAAAGTAGACCTACATGTACATGTATACAATGGTACTGGAACTTTGGAACTTGTAGGCCCTACACATAGGCCTATAGAAGTTAGAACTCATAGTAGTATAAGTCTTGGAGATACCTTGTTTGTTTGTTTGTTTGGGTTTGTCTTTTGAGTTGGATATTCAATCAAATTTGTTGAAATTTGTTGATTGTAAATCATGATAATGTTGACTGAATTTCATAATGTAATAGTAATATGAAGTTGTTCAAGTTGGTTAAGGTAGAACCTAGTTCACATTGATTTTAGGATGCCATCATTATTTTAAGACAGTTGGCTTTTACCCTCTTCTGTGCATGCAGTTTCCTCACAGAAGGTCAAAAACAAAAAATGCGCACGCTTCTCTTGAAAGCAAGCGCAGTTGGGCTCCGCTCATCACAGCGGCTCGAGAGAGGGTAATTGACTTGTCATTTGGTAGCGAGCTCCCCCCCTCTTGTTTGCTTTTACAGTATGTACTTGAAAGCTTTGATCTGCGATGCCAAATTGACCTGATTTCTGTTGCTGGTCTAATCATGCCACACGACAGTATGAAGGCTTGAGCGTTGGATAATGTACAGCACGCACAGTTTCTCTTTTACGCACATCTGCCATTGTTTGGTCAAGGTTTCGGACTTCGGTGGATAATCGTTGTGAAATACGAGACATGGGAGAGATGAATTAGACTATGCTTGATCTCACTGAAGGCCAAAAGTGAATTGCATAAAGTTTTCATCTAATTGTATTACATGTTCCTACATGTATACATCAATATCTTTTCATTATTTATGATTGATTCCTTTGTGAATGGACTGAGCTTTGTCTTTGTTGCTTTGAGACTGATATCATTGTATTACTAGTCAGAACTGTCTTTATAAGAGATTGTAAATTTGCAATAGATTGGGGGGACTTCCCTAAACTTCAAACAGTAATGTAATGCAAGTGTCCATGTTCCAGTACAATGCTATTTACAGCGAGGCATAAGTGATCTCTGTGCTCGATGTAGAGAGAGAGAGCGAGAGAGGGGAAGGAGAAGCAGGAAATATCAAATGAGAACAAGAAAGAGAGAAAATTACATGTATGTCGGGGTCCTTAAAAGATGAGAAGCTTATTTTGCAAATAAAATTAATTTGAAAACAATAGTTGATAAATGAAATTCATTGAGGCAAATCAAATATTTTCGGAGGTAGCAAGATGAAGATGATGAGATGTTTTGGATGATCAATGATTACTCCATGGGAGTGGGGAATATGACAACCCCCCATAGCACCATCTCTGATTTCACTGATGATCAAGTAAAAAAAAAAAAAATATTAAAAAAAAAAATATCTTGAGGTTGATGGACAGACAGAGCCAGACCACGTAGCCAAAGCTGTTGGCAAAGCTCAGGTAAGAGTCTGGGAAAATAGAACACACTGCGCAAGGAAAAGAAAGAACTTGCCTACACTACAGCTTCACATGAATGCATCAACATTGAAACAAATTTGAACAGGTCTATTGTGTAAAGGCCAGCCAACTTGGATACCTGAGGGTGTACATACAGTCAATAGCATATGTTGATAATGTTCATGTTTGGTCCAATATACCAGTAGGCAGGTTGACCTTTTCAATTGTCGGAGGCAAGTCTTATCTGTAAGATGTATGATACCACACATTACATGCATGGTGCATGTAATCACCAAGTCACATAAATTCACATGCACCCAAGCCCAAGCCCAAGGAGATGTGTGGGAGTGGAGTGCAAGACGACTGAGACGTAAGCCTCTTACAGTGACTGTATGTGCATATTCTGGGGGCATTCAGAATTGAAATATGGCAGTTAATCTCTCCTTCTGTATGCAGGATTATGCATTGCGATCTGGAGCATTTGATTGAAGCCAAAAAGCCAGTTTAATGAACTTCAATAATTCTTATTGCTGATACTTTAGCCAACAAGTATCTCTTTCACATTTTTAAGCTTTTGAATTTCGTCTATCTTTTAAAACTAAAAGCAATAAGGGCTTTATCTCATGCAGAGCTGCCAACTAGTACGGATTTCCCGTAATTGGTACGGAAATTAACGACCATTACGGAATGTTGTCTCAAATTACGGATTTAAAAAAAAAAAAAGTTTTTTTATTTTTTTTTTAATTTTATTTTTTTAAATAAATTAAATATGATTTATCGTAGCAAGTGCTGTGAATAGAAGCCATTTTTCATGATAAACTGTGTTGTGATGACCTGAAATTCAATATTTAACATCTTTGTGTGAGTAAAATCACCCAATATTTCAGATAATCATGCGTCCGCGCAGTGTTGGCGTGCCGTTTTTTTAGATTCATAGCGCCGCATAAGAAATTACTGATTTATACCCCAAATTACTGATTTTGAGCCTTGTGATTACTGATTTTCTGTTCTGGAGGTTGGCAGCTCTGCTCATGTATTTGTACATAGAGTGAATACCCTTCTGACTCTCAACACAAGTTACACTGCACATCAGGAAATTATTGAATTGTACATAAAGTACACTGTGTATTAAAGCCTACTGGAAAAGTTGGAAGCCATTGCATTGAACATTTGTTACTGTTCACTCACTGATGTATGTTGTTGCTATATTGTTATGCCATTAATTCATGTGATTTTTGCAAATGACACAGCAGATTTGATACAGGTAGGCTGAGTTACCAAGTTAGATTATTGACTTGTTTCTATGCCAGCCAGACCCGTCATTGTCTTGCCCTTCAGAGAATCAATAGACCCTACAATCTTCATGTACGTATACTGTACAGACAAGGGTCATGTACTTGAACATTTCCTTTGTAGATAGACTCTGTAATCTGTGATGTGTATTGCGTAGGTAACCCTGCTGTGCTCTCACTACTACAGCTGTATTGTACATGTACATGTATGTACAGTGTATGCCTAGAATTACCCCAGTTGCTCACCCCTTCCATACCATACGTACATGCACACTAGTGCGCAGGGGATAATCTACCTTTGTTCTGGAAGGGAAAGGGGGGGAAGAGTAGACCATTACTGCCATCTCACTCTGTACAGGCAGGACGGGACGAGGTCACAGAGAGTTCATTGAAGGATGGTAGAGCGCAGGGGCTTTATTAACAAGTGGCGCAACAGTGAGAGTCTGCTGTTGTTGATCTTGTCAAGTTTCCTGAAGCTCTTCAGGGAGGGAAGAGGCTAAGGAGATAATGGCTTTCGTGGGTTTGGAATTAGGAAATTGTAATTGGTGTCAAATTGTATGTGTGTGTGTGTTCTGTGTCTATGTCTGCAGATTAGGTGTGCTTGTATTACATGTTCATTTGTAACCTTCATATAAACCTACATCTGTATCCAAATTACTTTTTATAATGTATTAGTGTTAGTATGTTACTATGTTCATATGTAGCCTACATTGACATGTAGGCTAACGTGTACATGTACCGGTACACAAGCAAGATGTACAGTAGCTCTAGTAGTAGTAGAACAGTCTAATTGTGAACAACTTGCTGAACCACAATTTACAACTACATGTACATGTAAACAAGTAACTATGTGAAAGTCAAAATAACTCTATAAACTATTTAAAAAAACTGATTTATATAAGTACATATTATATTATATCTCTGTGTGTTCAAGACGTGATATTACTATAGTATATAATGGTTTAAATGATTTTACTCATCATTTGAAGTATTACATTGATTTGTTGATAGTCTTCCCAGTAGTACTAAATCCCAGAACATTAAGCATGGCCCTATCAACATCTGCATGGTTGGGATAACAAAAATCAGGCATACATTTGTTCATCCTTAATTGTAGCCTTTTGTTGTGTGCTAGAGAGGTTTCATGTTTTTTACCCCAACGTGCAGATTACGCAATCATTTTATTGAATGCCAATACTGGTTTTTGCATCTATTGGTCAGGATGTGCATTTACCTCGAACGTCATTCCCTATTTTTTGTTGGCAGAACTTGTAAAAAGCAAATCTTCCGTTTTCCAGCCAATTAAATTACTTAAACCGGAATTCATCCCTCTATATTTGGGTAAAACAATGATTTTTGCTGAATGAAATAGTCTGAAAATAACTCAGAAGTGTGCCAAAGGGCACAATATTTTCAAAGTCTCATTCTCAGTTTGAATTTGGAAGCATCCTATGGGATAATTATTGAGGTACAATGAGAAATTACAAATTAGTTCAGAACTTGCTGTGTGGCAGTTTCTAATAGTTTTCTCGAGAAAGGGAGAGGGAAGAGCGGTTGGCAAAGGAAATTGGAAACTTCTCATTCGTGACCCGCTGTTCGCCCATGGCAGGATGTCGGTTTAGCTCGGGGGGCTCTTTCGGGAGCTTTTATAGTTTTCCCTTCACTTTTTTCCAGCTTATTCATTCATGACGTCATCTACCAAACCCACTGTGCAATGTTGCATTACTAATAATGCATTGCCATTATATTAAATTTACTAATACTGCAGACTGTGCAACATAGTCTCAGGGTTGGCTAAATTAGGTTTCATTTTAATTTGATATTTAGAGAGTTAAATAAATCCTCATGATTGAATGAACTTCATATTGTATTTATGTAAGTACATGTACAAGAAGGTTTTACTTCTTATACATTTTCAAGTATGAAATTTAATCATCATGTGAAAAGCACATGAACTCGCTCTCGTTATGAAACAAAAAGAAGAATATAGTTTCGTTGTCGAAATACAGTGTAAGAAAATTCAACATAAACTGTATTTAATAAAAAAAAATATCTTGGCTCTATTTAATAACAAATTGTTATTGTCTTAATTTTTAAAAGGAGGCTTTGTACTTTGTCTGCATCCAATAAAATTCAACAGGTCTTCCAAAACTACAATATAGTACTTCAGGCAATGTATATTTACCATTGTGCTTCCTGGAAGTGGCACGCAATGTACACCTACACTGTTTACATATGGTAACAAATAACGTGTTGCCTTCTCGTAAATTAACTTCCTCTTTTTCATTCTTTCGTTTTCTCCCGTCTATAGGATTCAGCTAATTCAAATCAAGCATTTATGGCGTCTGTCTTGGACACTGGAGAATACTGCCAAAGCCAACACAAATAAAGTATCAGCCTCAAAGAAAGACTTGTTGGGGGAATACTAGTACTACTTGTCCTTGCCTCTTTCGCTCGCTCACAGCGAAATCAAACTCCGAGTACTGCATTCACCTGTCAAGCAGACCAAGGCTCTTTGCATGAGAGAGCTATCAGCTGGACTAGTTGTTCGTTGGATCTCATCCCCACGGTCTCTGGAACTTTTTTAGCCCCCGACATCAGGGGTGTGAACTACACGTGCAATTCCTACGCCTATGTGGTGCGTTCACGTTTCTTCGGCGTGTGCTTGCCGACACTGCCGCGGACAGACCCACGAATGGGGTAAGATTCAGGTCGAGAGCAAACTGCACTGGCAGGTGCCTCCAAGGTGTGTGAGAGTCAGAAGACCTGCACGGTAATCGCCGCGGGACCTCTTGTTTTTTCTGCGGTAGCCTTAAGTTCATTTTTTGTACGAAAAAATCCTCTTCATAATTTTGTCTCAGAGTTGTCTCCCCTTCTTTCCATCTCACCAACCAGCTTCATTTCCTATCAGTAGTCCGGTATAATCGTCGAACGGATCACTGCCCACTGCCCCCTTCCAACAAACCAATCACCTGGACTAGTAAGAATAGAACCCATTTTGAGGTAGTTCAGAAATCAAGACTGGAGTTGGACTGACAGAGCTAAGACAAAGCGGAAGAGATTCTTTCTCCACCTGAGAAAGGGCATCTTACATTTGTTTCTATTGTCGTCCATCCATGAAGAACCACAACATGAGTTCTATCCGGAGCGTACGTCCTGCTCCTGTAGAGATTGTACACAAGCACATGAGATTCCTCATCATCCATAACCCAGATAAGAATGGCGTGGAGCATTTCATCCAGGTAAATATTTCATGGTAGTTGGGAGAAGACCGAGTCTACCACATGACTTGACTGTGACCTGATTTTTTTGAAGAATTTGCAATCTAATGTGATCATCCACATATGTAATCGTAATGATTGAGCTTCTGAATGGTGCCCTAAAAAACAAAAATTTCATGTCAAGGTATTCAGCTCTGAATTGCTGTAACATCAGATTAGTCTTGTGATTGTCTACACCTGAAGCTAATGTTGCCTTTACTTTGACAAGAAAGTTAGCAATGCACCAAACTGTAGCTGTTTTCCATACGTGTAGTCATTATTCTGACCCTCCCTCAAATTATCGTTCCATGTATCTATTGCAATCGTGGTTTCCTCAGAAGAAGAAAAAATGGATATCAGTCATATCATAGTGTGTCGTTGGCTTTCAAGGCTTTCAAAAATCAGATAGTACAAGACAGTATCCATGATACACAGAACATGAGCTGATTTGTAAATGTTAAAGTGCATTCAAATGCCACATATGATGCTAATTGACTTCATTATGTTTTTATTGTTGAGGTGCCAAGATGTTTGTCTGCTAAGTGCAGATGACTTTTAAAAACAAATATTTGAAGGCTGTGGCTTACTGTGGATGTGGAATGAAGAGTTTAAAAACTCTGTCTGAGTGCAGCAATTAGTAGCGGTACATGGATTTTTTTAATTAGAGATGTTTTGAGGTGCTTTTAAGTCATGCCGACTGAAACCTAGTTACTTTGGAGAGGCTGTAAACCCTTTATCTATTTGAGACAGAAATGTACGATCTTAAGAATGACATTCAAAACAAACAATAAGGGAGATTTAAAGTGGCTCTCATGAAGCATAAATTACTTGAGGGAAAATGTAATTGAAGGTAATTTACCCCCTACAAAATAAAAAAATTGCTGCCATGAACTAAACAAAATTTGTTACCCCATTTTTGTCCTAACAGGAGCTAAAACAGCGTCAGATCAAGGAAGTGGTTAGAGTGTGTGAGCCTACATACGACGCAGCTGTCCTAAAGCAAGAAGACATCGAGGTCATGGTGAGTAATACCGGTGTGCTGCTTGCTCAATAGTCGGTGCTCCAACATTTGCTCAGCTCAGTTGACAGGTGCTCCGACATTTGCTCCGCTGACCTGTGCTCTGGGATCTATTTGGTCAAACATAACCATTAGGGTTAAGGAAGTGATAAGGTTTTACTCAAGGTTTAGGGTTAGGTATAGAGTTGAAGTCAGGAATTTGGTTAGTGTAGGAATCAAGTGTAGGAATCAACTGCAGAGTGATTGGCTTTTTACTTTAGGTCTAGGGTTTAGGTATAGTGTTCGGTCCAGAGTCTAAATTACGTATTTGGGTATTGTAGGAATCAACTGCAGAGCAATTGGGTTAGGGCTAGGGTTATGATTGGCTTTATACTTTAGGTTTAGAGTCAGGTATAGTGTCGGGTCCAGAGTTGAATTTAGCTATTTAGGTAGTTTAAGTATAGACTGCAGAGCAATTGTCACAGGAACATACACCGCGGAACCTAGGGTTCACACTAAGGAGTTCACACGCACCTTTAACTCCTGGACTCGACAAACAGCAGAACACTTGATAGCCTCACAATAACCCATGACTATCAGAAGGTCATTTCCTGCTTGAGAAAGAGACACGTTTTACATGTATGATGTATACTCACTGTCATGAAGGATAGACGGAAATAAAGAGGAATATTAAAGCAAAGGGTATTTCCCCTTCTGTGGATTGTGTTTTGCACTCTTAATTTAAAGGACAAGGGTTTAAACTCTGTATTATGTATATTCCGCCGGGTATTGATACAAACTTGCCACTCCCTCATTTAGGAGGGAAGAAAGCATTGTGTTCAAAATGCCATCAGAATTTGTATGTTTGTTATGACAGAGATGATACACACAATTAGAAAAAGCTTTATGTTTTACAGTGAAATCTGCGCCTGATGCATAAATCTTACCATTGATGGTAACTTTGCCATCAATGGCAACTACTATGGTTGGTAACAGGGCTCAACAGCCAATCAAAATCAAGGTTTCCATGTTAGTTACCATCAATGGTAAGTTTTCGCATGTATGACATGTTTGTGAATTTTGTGAGTGGTTCAAATTCACGAAAATGTCATGCCATGGCATTATTAAATTGTGACTGTCAAAACTTAAATGTTGCAATTTGCGAAAGTTTTTTGCCATGAAATGTTCTGTCTTAACAATTAACCAAAGGATCATGCCACATAGTTTCTGGTTTTACAGTATTTGCTGTTCGTCATGATGGGAAACTACATTTTTCATATGTCTCCCTGCTTGCTTCTTGACACACAGGACATGCCCTTTGATGACGGAGGCGTCCCATCGTCCGAGATCATTGATCAGTGGCTGGCCCTCCTGAAGATGCGCTTCAAGGAAACGCCCAAGAGCTGCGTGGCCGTGCACTGCGTGGCTGGACTAGGCCGCGCTCCCCTTATGGTTGCACTGGCGCTGATGGAAGCTGGCATGACATACGAGGACGCTGTAGAGTTCGTACGAGAGTAAGTTTAAGACCATGGCTGTTTTCATTTATCTTCCAAAAAGCAATGAACATAGTAACAGACAGTCGTCAAATAGAAAAACAAATTTCTTGAGTGATATACTTAAAAAAAAAATATATATTAACGAAGAGATAGATAAAATGAGGATGGGGTGCCTAATGGAGCTGAAAATTATAATGCAAGTTTGAAGAGTTTTCTACCTGTGTTATGTAGCAACATACAGTGGTTAAACCAGGAAATAACCGAACCAGTTTAACAACTTTATGAAATATAGCAGTGTGAGTGTGCCATGTATTAAAAATGTGCTTTTGAAGAATTGGACATTTTATCCAAGTTCAAATTTGATAAAAATGCAGTAAAAGATTAAGATACAATTTACTAGAGTTATGTTAAATAATACAACACTAATCATAGAAGGGGAATATTTTGTTTTTATGTGGAAAGATCTTGATATATGAGTGCAATGTTGTTCTTATGTTCCTCTTACAGGAAGCGTCGCGGTGCCATCAATGCCAAACAGCTCCACTTCCTGGAGCGCTACAAGCCCCGTCTCCGCATGAAAGCCAAGAATGGTAGCAAGGGGGAAAGCTGCTGCCTGATGTAAACAGACCCTTCCATCTCCACTTCATCCTCCTCCTCATTTAGTCCTTCATCCATCCTTCATCCAATCCTCCACTGGACAACTTGCTGTACTAATGATATTCTGTTAATAACCATATATTTGTAGTTGTAGGTCACATGCATGACGTTATCATTTTGGAATTAGCAATACACATAGTAGTGGGTTTAGAAATCGAAACACGTATTGAATTTTGCATGATTAGGTAATGCACCATTATTCCCATTACAAAGCATTCTTTAAATTAAAATAAAGGCATATCGGGCATTTATGAAATATATTATTAATTGATTGTGTATTGGTGTCTGCAGCATAATTAATTTCTGGATTTCTACCTTTAAGGATAAAAGAAAGATGATAATTTATTTTCTAACCTCCAAGAGGTGTAATAAAACTATTTTTACTAGAGCCTAAATTTTACTCCCAGGAATGCAATTCATTTTATTGTGCAGAACATTAAATTTCTGATTATTCTTTCTAAACAAATTATTGTCATAAATGGCATGCAAGGCATTGCAAGGAATGAATTCACTGAAATTTTCTGTTCAAAAGGAACTGTTTTAATGATGTAATGGTGCATTACAAAGAAAACACCACAAAGTCGGAATCAATCAAGAATATTTTGATGGAAAAGGTACTGTCAATCGCATCACATCAGAAGTATTCAATCACGTCTTGGGTATTGAATCTAAAGGGAGCGTGTCATACAATACATTTAAGATCTTATCTCATCGGCATTTCAAGTCTTAAGTATCAAGATGGTTAGAGCTTTATTTTTATTTTTGTTTAATATCTCAGACATTGATATGGACTGTAGTATTGATTTCAATTTCTTCAAATAACAGCATTATGAATTCATATTACAAAGGTTAGATATAACAATAATAATTATTTTTTTAATGTTCGTGTGTTCTTTAAAAATTATTAGAGTGGTTCAGCTTCATTGTAATAAAACTGAATATGGTCTCGACACAAGAAAGACTAAAAAAAATACCTTGATCCAAAATTGTTTGATTATTCATGAATTTAAAAAAAAAATGTAATTATGATTTTGCACATGCTAACTTATATTTGACAATATTTCATGTTAATATCTTTGAAGACATGTTTGTGAAAAAACTGTACTCTGAAGCACAAAATCAAGATGACAAAAGTTTTCATATTTAGGCTGAAATGGGTAATAATGAGAAGCAAAACCTTACTTTGAGTTAACCTTCATTTTGACACCTTATTGAGTACATCACAACAAACAAGGCCACACCCACTTATGAAGGCCACGCCCATTATTCATTAGGAGGGCGTAACCTCTCTTCCCGCCCATTCAAACTAATGAACAAATGCTACGGTCAGTTTTTCATGTAAAGTCTAGTCGTAAAGGCCATGTAGGGCCATTTAAAAACAAGTTATGGGCACTGTAAACATCCTGTATGGTCATTAGTCTACACCAGAGCCACTTAATCTGCCAATTAATTGTAAAGCTTTGTAGTTTCCAGGTAATGGCAGTGCACTGCAAGGCCTTGTAAAGGGACATAAACACCCCCACAGAGCCAGTTTATATATGGCGAAAATCAACGACGATGGAAAATGCCATTATAACCAACAACAACAACAACATGGTAAAAATGTGAACATTTTGAAATTCTTGTTAGTTCTAGCAGTAAGCAATATGTAGCGCCTGTAACTGCACCTAGATGCTGTAATTGCTACTGGATACTGGCAGTGTTCAATCCTGTATTGAAAAGTGGCTTTACGTGGCAATTTTGGCTAGGCTTTACGTGAAAGTTTGATTGCGGTAAAAGTAATGCCTTCCATCAGTACACGAGACCAAGTCTTGCATCTATCTGCTTTGTGTTCCAAGGTATCTAATACACATGGAAAATAGAAAGCATTGTTTCTTGTCTGCAAGCACACACTGTGTTACCCAACGCGGAAGCCACACAGAGACATTGAATTCTTCTATTTTTGAATTTCTACTCAGACAAAAAAAACAAAATGTGTGTGTTTGTTTGGATATGTATGTAAGTTAATGATAAATTGATATGCATTGTTGATGATTATTTGGTTTGTTTGTGAGTTGTTGTGCAACGATTGAGGGGTTTCTTTTTTCCCCCTCTCATTTTCATGTCTCATTTGAAATCTGTAATTCTAATGACTTTTTTGGTCACACATGAACAATAATTGCAATGCATCGGAATAGGCAGGACTTGGGAAGTCCAGCTAACATGGCATGAGTAAGGTTAAGGAGTGCAACATTGATGTTCTAATGAGAAGAAATTGTTTAGATTGAACAAAGTATCTCCAATAATGACAAGATATATTGACATTTCATGTATCTTAAGACACATTTGTTCTGTTAACAGGCAGAAGGAGGCAGCATTGATAGGCTTTCCTACAGGTTTCATTGTTGTGACCTTCTGTAGCTAAAGTGAAGGGAAAAAATGAAGTGTGAGTGAAGGGGCATCTTAAAATCGATAATTTGGAGTGGCTTTGGTGCCGTGGGATTCTGTTTTTATTTCATGGAATTTTTGTCTTGCTGAGGTGATGATTCCAATTTGTCAATTGGGAGTGTGAAATTTCAATGTACACGGATAATTTGATAGAATCTAAAAATTGTGCATCTATGATACTATTGTCATTTGATTAGCAGTAGTGATTTTTGAAGCTTTATACCTTGATGACATTAATCAACGTTGTTTAATATCTTATCTTTTCTTATATAAGCATTGCATTTTTGGGTTCCAGTATCGTGGCTTTTATTGATATTGATTGATGATTTGAACATTTTTTTGATACCCAGCTCGGCGTGACTACATATTATCTTGAATGTACACTGATTGTTTAAAGTTTGCATGAAATTCTGGTGGAATGTTTAGGAAGATATTTGAATGGTGATAAATGAAAGACATTCATTTTGTAAACAGGTATTATCTAAACAGTATGCCATGCATGGCATTGGAAAATGTATTCTGGAATTGTAGATGAAAATATTTTAAAAACATTCTCCTTGGGAATGTCTTAATAATGGACATTTCATGCAACATTCTTCCTCCTCATTATCCTCACATAGCAAAATTCTAAGGGAGTAGGAGGGGGGGGGGGGGGCTATTCTTAGGACAAGTAATATATCTATCAAACTTTCAATATCAAATCCAACCCTCTGTCCACAACTCCACGTGCTAGTCAGTAGACATCGGTCTTAACAAAAACTTTTTTTGGGGGATGGGATGTATTTTGGGAGGAAATGAATTTGAGAATTTGTGGGAGATGGAGAAAAGAAACCCATCAAATTTGTTGGCTCACATCAAACATTCAAATTGCACTTAAAGTATCACCATTCACATATTATGTTTCCTCAGCCATTTAATACTGAAAGACTAAATCCTGTGTTTTGGCTCCCCCTATTTAACAGCATATCATGTCCTTTGTGACTTAAAGGAAATCAGAAATTTTGAAGGAATGAAATTGATGCCATTTTCTGTATTTTTAATCCAAAGGCAGTAGATCTTGTTCTACAATGTTTTTCTATTTCTCGTTTTATGTGTGTATTTTCAGAATAGATATATATATTGGAAATGGACTTGTATAACTGTATTACAAGAAGATATGCTGCACTGTAGACTGAGAGCTCGCACCATGATGTACAGCACGGCAAAGTCATAGGCACATAGCATGTTGAGAGAAATAGTTGTGACACTTGGTGCTTGGTCATACATGAAGGTGAAACCATGTAGCTCCCACTAGTTCCTCTCATGTACAATATCTATGTGCGGGAACTTCTAGAGCTGCTTGAAATTATAACTGGCCAATTGATCAGTAGCAACTTCTGGTGATGCAACTATCTCTCTCAACTAGCCATGGGCGAAGCATCAACAACAAAGAGAGACAATGAATTTACTTTATACCTCACAGATTGTTGGTGCGAAATACAAAAAAAACGTAGTATCATAAACATAAAGAAAGAATGAAGTATTTATGTCTGTATATCTTGTGTAAATGTGTGTGCGCAAATAATATGTCTTGTAGTCGTAATTTTGATTATTCTCTTTCACCTTTCTCACGTGGTGCATTTGTCTTTAATAAGGCTTCACTCTGGAGTCTTCAAGAAAAACGACCTAGAAGTGATGAATTAAAACACACCGCAAGCTTCTGTGATTTCAGTAACGCCGGATCACAACTGTCTAAAGAGTAGTCCCGTCTGTTTTCTGATGAGCTAGTCATTGACTTCATAGATAATGCAATTTTGTTAGAAATTTTCCTTCAGATCTTGAAAGACTATTAAAGCGGGCTTTCATTTCTAAGATGTAAAGAGATATATGCCTTATCATCATCCTAGTTTTGTTGATGGAGGGTATAAATGATTATCACAAGAAACTCCCCCCCCCCCTCCAAAAACAAATAAAGCTAAACTGTGCCACAAGAAAAAGTTGAATGGGTGCTGAATATGATTAACCTACTGTGTGTGATAACGTTAGTAATTCCAGTGCCCTTCTGCTTCTGAAATTGAGCATCACTATTAGTATCGTCCTTCTAAGTTGTTCTTTAGAGTGAAGCCTGAGCCATAAAGCTGTTGTTGCATGTAGAAACAATGCACGAACAAAGAAATGATTGAAAAGCAATACAGAGACAATGCTACACATTCATTGAATAAACAGAACTATGTTCATCTGCTGTGATTGGTCTTATGCAGACTAGCAAGATGTAATGTACGAAAGGTGTCTATCAAAATGCGGCATTCAAATGTGTTTAATAATTATATTTAGAAAGGAAAGAATGTAAAATCATTGATGTATTTATTCTAGAAACTGTTTTTTCTTACAGCTTTCCCCTTGTGTAATACGCTTGTTAATCAGAATGCATAGAAATGATGAAATGTTGCTTTGCCTTGATAGGCAATCCAGATGCTTTAAATGTTGATGTTTCAAATGAAAGTTTTTAGTTCATTCACCAAATGAATGGTTTCTATTAATCTTAGGATGATAGTGAAGCAAGATGCATAGTGATAACACTTCACGAGGGTACACAAAGCCTTGCTCACTGACCTAGGTCAACCAACTCTCACACCCATGTCCAACTCTTGCACAATTATCATGGACCATCTTAACTCAAGTCTGCCAGAAGCTTTGATTAGAAAACTAGTTGCTAAAAAACCACAATGCCGTAGTTTCATTTACATTTACCATGCTTTAAGTGGCTAGACAAGTATGAAGACATGTTAGAATTTCTCACTATATAATTTCTACATTTCATTTTTCACCACTATACACACATTTTGATCAAATCGTCGCCTCATCTCCTCTAGAAATTGTCATTTTTATTTTATCATCTTGTATGTATTTTCTTGTGATACAGTATTATAACCAACGAATTGTGCTCTGTTCTCTCTTTTTAAAACCATTTTTTTGGGGGGGTAACCTTACAAGATTTGATTTGATATGTGCTGCACGTTAGGAGCAAGGTATTATGAATGGTTTGCATCTGGCCAACCAAGAGCCTCAAAATGTCCAGAAGCCAGTTTGAATTTATTGAAGAAAAGAACTTCATGGAAATGATCGAGTATTCTTGGTGCATCAGACCGGCTTCTGGAAGAATGTAAATGAATGGTAACTGCCACAAACACAAACCCAAATTTTTGACACTATAATTGACTCTAGAAATGTGTCATATTTCCTTTCATTTAATAGCTTAATTCTAACTTTCTCCATGTTCTTCATGGCATACATACATTTTGGTTGCTAATTACAATACTCTGATTGATATAGTGTTATCAACACTTTCTGTTTCGAATTCATTGGTCTGCTTTTCTCAATATATTCCTAGTCTGATAATATAACATGGCTACTGAACACATCATTTTGGAATTGCAGATTTTTCTTTGCCAAAATGTGCATTTTACTATTAAACAGTTTGTTCTTGCGCTATGTATAACGTGTTTTCGTAGGTTTCTTTTAAATTCTGCATGTTTATTGTCTGCACTGGAATAGCATGGTAATTATGGAACTGTTGGTTGTTTTGACCGAAGTAAGAAATGCACTGGTATAAGCATCTCATCTGTTGAAGCTCAACTTCAAATTTGTGCTGTATACTTTTTTTCTTCAGTCAATTAACAAAATTATGCCTTTAGGAGAGAGAAGTATTTTTTCCCACTTTCATTATGCCCAATTCATTGATAATTGGGCCCAGATTGTAAATGTTAATTCAATAAGTATTTATGAATTTCAATTCAGATTTGTGAATGTTGATTATATAATTTTTGGTATCATATAATGATTTGTTTTTATTTTTCATTTTGTGGGGTGGAATTTACTCACTTATTTTTATCTCTGGAAACAGTCTTAATAAAGTGCACTCTGAAGGGTCATGAAGTAAAACAAATACTTAGTTGTGTGATACCATATCTGACTGTTTCAACAAAGTGATTTTTATTAATGTTATGTGAGTAATGAGGACATCTGAGAGAATAAAAACAGGAAAAAAAGAGAATTTCTTGTTGTTAATGTATTTGTGTTGTTTGTGTCGTGTTGGTTTTAATTCTTCAGAGTTCTTGTGGGATGTTAATTTTTCAGACCACGGTAATTTTATGCAATCCTGTAAAAAAAAAAAAATTGACCTCCCACCACCTCCACTATTTTGCTTGACAAAATCAATCCCGAGTGAAATTTTGTTTAAAAGCATTTCAGTGAGGCTTTTAATCACACTCTATGATCAATGTATTACCTACAGTGTTTTATGCTGTAAAACTATGGATTAATCTCTCTTCATTTGTGAAAGTTTCTTGCTAAGAAATCAACAAAACTTTCATGTCCAAAATGTTGTGGTGAACAGTTCACCTTCATCTCTACACAGCCGGTCTTTCGAGATGGATCTTTTAGATCTAAACATCCCTTATTTTCAAACTCTTGATAGAATGATTAGAATCTTTGGTCTTGTCACCAAAAAAAAAATCACAGCTCCGTAGATGGCCTGGAAAAAATTGCCCTTTCTGTGTATGCACAGAATCACAATGTTTGATAATGAATAAAACCTCTCAAGTTTAATTGACCTAACTGTATTAGAAACAAACCATACATGATATTGTAGGCTTTCCCCCAAATGATGTACATGTACGTTTCGTGGTGTTGTTCTTTCCTCCAGTTTCTCAAATCAGATAGTTACCATCCATTATCACCTGTTTATGTGTCAATATGTAGGGACTGGTCACACAGTGATAATGATATTAATAATAACAACCACCACCATCATCATCGGCATATTTTTAACAACAAAGTGGTCTATGAAATTGTACAAATGTATTGGAGCTCACCAACTTGGGCTAATGAGCCCTTTGCGCCGATTTTCTCAGAACCATTATCTTTTCTTCATAGAACAATTACCGCTATATTATTATTTGTACAACATACATTCTATTTATGAAGCTTATCTCCACTACGCAGGTGAAGGACGTAATCTTAGAAACCACACAAGAGTATTTGCTTGAAATTGGAAACCATTTATTTAAAAAGTTTCGAGGAATAACACATCAGATTTGAGAATATCACTTGTGTTCCAAGACTGGCTTAGAAGCTTATATCTACGCACATGAAGGACGAAATCTTAGAAACCACACAATGAGAGTATTTGCTTGAAATTGGAAATTATTTTATTTACAAGGTTTCAAAGATGCAAGGAATAACACTTAAAGGTAAAGATCAGTTCTGGTCGTGTGATTGCATTGTGAAAGAAACGTGGAATTGATCAGAAAAGGTTGATCATCTCGCATATTGGTGTGTACTGAAAGGTTCTGGAATCATCAAAATGATAAGAAATTACCGTAAATCTCCGTGTATAAGGCGCACTTTTTTGCCGCCGAAAAAAATTTGAAAGTCGGGGGTGCGCCTTATACACAGGTACAGATTTTTTTTTTTTTAGTGTCGATTTATGGCGCTATGCCTGGCAATGTCACCCAGCTCAGTAATCAGTGTGTTGACTCACCACTCGGAAACTAAAACAACACTCAAATTTGTCTGTCATCTTGGTTTGAAAGTAATCTTTCTAATAGATCTCAATATGTAGTTTATAATAATAATTCCTCAAATATTTTTTTCTATAACAAATGGTGTACCACAAGGTGCACCACTGGTACCATATGTACTCTTTTGTTTTTAATTTACATTAATGATCTTACACATTCTTCTAAAAACGACATTGTTACTATTATTTGTGACAAGTTCACAAGCACAAATCAGCGCCTTTAACTGCACCTCGATGTAAAATGAAGGTCCTTCCCCACGTGGGTTTTCGGCAACAAAACAACAACAACAAAAAACGATTTTTTTTTTTTTTTTTTTTTTTTTTTTTTTTTTTTTTTTTTTTTTTTTTTTCCTTCCCCCAAATAGGGGTGCGCCTTATACACAGGTGCGCCTTATACACGGAGATTTATGGTAGGCCTAGTTTTGGTAAAGTTAGGAGCACTGTACACAGAAAGATGTATATACGCGACACATGCGCGATATCTATCAGGTCCAATTAGATATAATAATTTACCAAATATATCAATTAGTAGGCAGTTTCCAGGTGAAATTTGTATCATCTCTTATTAGTCAAAACATATTCTTTCACACGATTGGTAATAAGAGAGCTTCAATTTCATTTTTTGAGAGGGGGGCATTTCCAAAACAGGTCTTTACCTTTAAGATTTGAAAATATCCCTTATTTTTGTTCAAAATCTGTCTCAGAAGCTTATCTCTATGCACATGAAGGACAACATCTTAGAAACTACAGTGGCCATTTTGTTGTGTTTCCCTGGGTTGGCCATTATAGAGAGGTTTGACTGAATGTATTTGATAAGAAGGAAAGTGACAACAGAACATCTTATATCTAGGAAAATGATTTGCAACAAATAATTTGTGCTTTACCCAACAATAAAACAGCAAGTGCATAAACATGTGATAAGGTTGTTCCCTTTATTGATAAGGATAAGTTTTCCATAAGTATATAAACATTTATCCTCCAATATGATTATCAATGGAGCTGATATAAAGACATATTTATAAAACAACAGATACTTGAAAGTCCAACAAATATACAGGACGTCAGTGAAATTCATATCAAGAAACAATGTATTTCGCGTTTACTGGTAGTTTGAGAAGACGATTATTTCCATTCACAATTTATTAAACACCAAGATGTTTATCAGCTGTAAATTTATACCCCAGCTAGTGGAAAATAAGGAGTTTGAACATTTTCAAAACCATGGAAGAACGTTTAAAAGCAGGAGTTTAGGTAGGGCAGACTTCAAAGAAAAATTGAAGAAAGGAGTCTGCCTATCATATCCTCCAACACATGAACGAGATGTTCAAAGAAGCATTCTAGGGAAAATGTTCACGTACACAGATTCCATCACAGCCAGAGAAACCATCATCAAGCTATCAGAAAACAAAGGCTCGTTTAAATATGACACGATAAACTGCTGCAAAAAGTTGCCACATTTTTTTAATGTGTAAATAAATGTCAAATGTGAAACGTATTATACTTGATGTCATCATATTAAAACGAACACCAGTTTGCCACCTTATATCTGAACAAGGATTGAGGAGCCTTTGCTGAGGAACAGCTGCTCATTTCTCTCCCTCAATTGCCATTTCATTACCATAACATGTTAAAGCCTATCTGCACTAGTTTGGTTACTGGCAGAAAAAGGGGACCATGGGGGATCAATGGGTACCGCTTAGGCATTGTTGGCTGTATAGAGGGCGCAAGTAGCTACAAGTAGTGCAGTCCAGCTTAAATGGCTTTATTTCGCTGCAGGATTTTTAAACGTTATACCACACAGAGTGTGAATGAACCTCAGCTTTGTTGATGAAATTGCATCATTTCTGTCTTTGGGTCAACCCGACTTTCACATGAACATATCGTCGTAGCCAGGAGGGGGGAGGTGATCGGGATCTGGACCCCCGTCGAACCCTCCCTGAGGTCCTCCTCCTGGCCCACCGGGTCGAGGCGGGCCGATGGGGTCAAACCGGGCACCTGGTGGTACCGCACCTCTGCAGATGGGAAGGAACACAGAGAGAGAGAGAGAGAGAGAGAGAGAGAGAGAGAGCAAGAAAACAATTATAAACTAGAAAGGTTATAACAGTACATTGCTAGTTAATAGAATTGCTACTATTTTTGCTAAAGCATTTATTTCCTCAAATATCATGGGAAGCACATTATTAGAGGAAGATCCTATGAAACACATTTGGAAATATTGATGTTCTAATGATTTTGAATACAGGTAGTCTTTAGGGACACTTGGGATAATTTTTCACCATAACATACAAGTGAGATTATCGGTTTAGTGATTCAGCTAATTTGGAAAAAACTCCAATATGTGGAGGGATGAAAACCTTTTTAAAATGAAACTCTCTTTTTGTTTGTTAGATTTAGTTCAAATTTGTACCCATCTGCTACTGTGATTTTTCTACTCTGCCTCAGAAAAATGTGGGCTTTCCAAGAAACTCAAAGACTTAAGTCCACCCAACACCCCATTGAAGACATGGCTATTGAAACATAGACTTAATAACTCCTTAAGTTCCAAGTGCTCAGTGACACATAAACCACTTTTTCTCAAAATACCCAAAATGAAGTTACGTCTTTGTGTCACTGACCCCTCAAAATACTGAAACACTATACCTAGGTAGTCTTCCTCCTGGCATTCCAATTCCAGGATCAATCCCTCTGTGAGGCATGCCTCCTCGGAATGGATCCATCAACATCCCTGCTCCACCTGGTCCAAAGGGATCCAGGTCGTCTCGTCCAACTGCAAACGGATCCCTAGGCTGCCCCCTATGTTCAAATAGAGTATGCATGAAGGTCAAATAGTTTAAAATCCCTGACCTTAATTGGTCTTTGTGAAATATACTAATACACTACACTTTGTGAATTAAAAAATGGAACATAGCACCTAAAGGGTATTGGAATCTTTTACTTTTACATAGAGTTAATGCCATTCTGGCCGTCAGCAGACAATATGTCATGGGACTACAAATTACTGTAATAATACAAATGAGTTATTGCATTACCATGTTGGTTCTCAGTTGTGCAAAACCAGTGATATGCATTATTATTATTTATATAAGGCGTCCAAGTGGTACAATAAATCAGCGTATTCAATATCTTTAGCGTAGTACCCAGATGACTGACCAATATTGTTTTCGTACTGCTCAGTCATCCAGGAACTAAGTCAAATTTCGTAATTTCGCTAGTCAGATTAATATAGATAATAATAATATTGTATGGCTTTGTTTTGTGTGATATAATAATATATTGCTCTCACTAAGACAATATTAGACTCGTCTTTGACTCGTCCAGTATTGTCATAGCTCAAGCAATATATTCTTGTATCACGCTCAAAGCCATCCAATATTATATAAGTATTATACTAACTCCTACACTAGCTACTTTCAAATTCAAATTCAATTGATAACTTGGTAAAATAACAGAGGCAAGTGCTTTCAACCACTCCATTCTGTTATAGTAACGATTTTCAAATGTGTTTATCTTTGAAAGATAAACTTGTACATTTAGCAGTAACTTGCACATACCCCTCATGCATGTTTCATAACAATTCTGATTGTAGAAATCATCCTCCACTCAGGTCACATTTGTCAAAGTTATAGGATTAGGGTAAGGAAAAGGGTCGCAATTGGGTTTAAGATTAGGCTTATGGTAAGGTTATGGTCAGGGCTGGAAAGGTCCATTTCGTCAAGAACTGACGTTAGAATTCAGTTAGAGTGGGAAATTGACCACCATCATCACTCACCATTCCGGATGACCAGCCTGTCCTGGGTGTCTAGGTGGTACTCTGAGGGGGTCTATGTCCCTGAGTGGGTCAGGGTCCCTCAGAGGGTCTGTCTCCCTCTCCCTACCCTGCCTCTGGTCTGTGGACTGTCTGCTTGACTGCGCCTCGTCCCTCTGCCTGGTAGTGGTGGTGGTGGTGGTGGTTGATGTCTGACTCTTGTTCAATGGTGCTATGAGATCATCGTTAATCAGCTGGTGAAGGAGTGCTTTGTCTCTGTATACACTGGAGGTAGCATGTAAGAAGAAAAAGGCCTCAATGATAATTATATCCTATCCTTCGCACACATGACCATTACATTTGACTGAAGTGTTATGCTACGTACAGGCAAGTCCAAGCTACATGTATGTCCCATACTTTACCAGGTATTAGAGGTGTTGTTGTCTAGTGAATAAGTCACCGGACTATAGATCACAAGGTACGGGGTTTAATTTCTGCCGCGGCACTAATGTCCTTTGGCAAGACGTTAATCTACATTTGCCACTCTCCACCCAGGTGTAAATGGGTACCTGATATGCTTGAGCGCTAGTTACTTTGGCAGCTCGGCTACAACCAGGGTAATATGTGTAAAGCCTCAGAGCCTGGCGGATACAGGCACTATATAAATATCCATATTACTATTATTATTAATATTGACCTGCATATACTGTAAATCATACTGTAAATCATAGATGTGGTAACATATCCGATAAAATAGCTTGGACTTGGCAAAACACAGAACGCAACTAGTCAACTTGATGAGTATTTTGATATGAATTTTACTACAACAAATGTACTATCAATTGCTATACATGTACTTTGGTTTGAAACATATTCCAGCTAGGAAACTAAACAATGTACAGCCACAATAAGCATAAAAATACAAAAAGAGCTGTACCATGTTTCAATATATCACTAAAACGGACTGCATTGTTATATATATATATATATATATATACACACACATTTCAATTTCAATGACCCAAGAGCAAAAAAGAAATATACATTTCAACATCTGATTTGTGTTTTGTTAATAAAATCATTGGGCTCAAGTCGTTATCATTTGACTTTATAAACATCATATCCCGTCTGAAGAACATGTATTTTTTCTAGTGTAACATTTTTTTGTGCTACATAGTGACAGCAGCAAATTACAAATAAAGTCAAACCTGCTTTAACAACAACCTCTACACAAAGAATACAAGTCTATCAAAAATATATATATATATTTTTTTAATAGTTTTCCTCTGATAATTTTTCTCCTTGAAATGTTAATTAAAGGAACACATGTTAAAACCATTGACAGTCTCCCTTGAGTGGTCTAAATATACAGGTTTTACTCTTTATGCAAAACTATTTCAATACACTTATTTCCACAGAAAATATCAATGCATATGGGTAGGCCTACTGCATACTCTACAATTTAAATCAATTAAAAGGACATTCACTGACCTACCGATCAAAGTCTTTAAGATGTTCTTTGTTTATATACTGGTCAACATCAAGGGAAAGACTGCTCACCTTCTCATCCTTCAACCTCTGAAAGAATCATAACAAATGAGAGCTCATTTTTTTGCAATTTCTGGAGAAAATTAATACCAACAAATTCTGTGATGCTACAATTATAGTAGGTAAATTCTTCTAGCCATGAGGTATTAAACTATATATTCATTATTGGAAAGTTCAATAATAAGGTAAATCTTCCTTCATGACATGTGAAAGAAAATTCTGAGAAATTGGTTCATTTTAAGATATAAAATCTCCAATGAAATCATCTCTCTGATAATGTGATTCATCAAATGATTTAATGATCAATACATTGAGTGATCTGATGTGAATGTCAGATCAATTTAAGTATAGACAGCTATCCCAGGCAGCCAGATTAAACAGATGAACATCTACACAAATTTGAGCTCTGGGTTTGGCATTTCCCTTACAAATTTTGAAAATTGTTGGGAGGAGGGGGGGGGGGGGGGGGGGGGGCACAATGAACATATGCATCCCCTAGCTAAAGGAAATCTGCCATAACCGATCAACCTTCTAGAATAAAGTTGAACTTGTATTCCCCCGAATCATCCACAGCCCCCTCCCCCACCCAATCAAATATTTGAGACTTTATTATGCTTCTGAAAAATGTCTGAGCCTCTTTTTTACTTTTTTTCTTCTTCTGCTAATCAACACTGTTTTAGACCTAGCTGTGTCCCAACCCCTCAGTCACTGCCAGTGGCCTGTAATCTCTTACTCTTATGGAGTAGAAATCCTAAGATTCATCATACCATAAAGTTTACGAGAAGAGTGTCCCCCATCACAATGCATTTCAGCAGATACTGGTCCTCAGAGTTTTGAGGAACATATCTGATGGCATACTCCTCCTGAGAGCTGTTCCACATGGCAGGCAACAGTTCACTCTTCTTACTTGATGATGACGTCTGAATTAAAAACAAAAATTAACAATAAAATAAGGATAAAAAAGATCAAATACAAATTTGTTTACATATCCAGCCGACATACCATAGCCTGCTTGGTTTTTGCTAGCTAGGCAGTTTTAATCAGATAACTTCTTTGTAAATGAATTTAAGGCGCTAATGTATCTTGATTTGTAGCGAAAATTACGACTGAAATTGTAAGCGATCGTCAGTCTAGTGCGCCGTCTGCAAGTATTTTCCTTGCCTATTTCGCCTATGACCTGTCCTAATGCCGCTCGCTTGTGGGTGCGCATGCAAAAATATAAAATAAGGAAACATATCGGGTACACGTTAGGCCAAATAAAAACTGCTTCCCAGTAGAATTCAATCTAGAAGTCTACATAATATTTTCAAAATTTATATTTCTTTCTTTCCTTTTTTTTACGGGCCATAACAATAAATAAAGATATGAATTAAAATACGGACAGCAACATTAAAGCGGAAGACTGTGGGGACGATTAACCTTATCCTCTGTAGGTCTAATAATAATGCCAATTCACTGTTATTCACCACTTGCAATCAGTCATGCAACACTCTCTATACTCTATTCCATCATAAAATTCTTTATTGTATAATTTTTCATTTCACTCACTCATCTCACTATTCTCTAGACTAGTCTAGGCCTAGAATCTAGACTCTAGTCTGGATCACTCCAGCAAAGCATAGAGAGTCAATGATAAAACGTATTGACCTCTAGCACTGCATACATGCTGTGAGGCAGGGACCTAGAAGTCTATACACAAATATACACACCACACAATATCGCATAGACTGTACACAATCATGTCGATGCAGCTGTAAGCAAAGTTTGACACTAGGCTTACAATTTGATTTTTTAAATTATTCTTTTAACATCAGTAAGTTAAAAAAAAAAAAATTTTACTGCTATTTAGGTGTCATCAATTGTCACTAAAGTACCGATTTTGAGTAAAATCAGTTGAGTTTTGTACAGTGGTGTTTGAAATGTTGAGAATCAAAAGCACAGCTTTTACTACACAGCCAGGATAGTGATGCTCCTATGTGTGGTCTAGATCTAGATCTAGATTCTAGAATCTAGACCCTAGTCTTATTTATATTAAAGTAGAGTCTAGTCTTTGAAATGTTAAGAATCAATAGACTAATAGAGGTTGTCTAAACAGTTTTTAATCCACAAAAAGTACACTAATCCTTTGCTTAGTTAAAGTCAGTAAAGTAAAGACAAAATTAATAAATATATTAAAAGTAAATTGCTGCGCTGTGCTAGTAGGCCTACATCAAATCACACATGTGGGACTGATATTTGGCAAAATCGTTTGCAGGCTATGTCTCCATTTATCAATTTACCGAGCACGTCACTTACATCTTCGCCATGACCTACACATGTGAAGCCCCTATTCACTATATTCCAGTGAAGGAAACAAATCAACCCATCGTAATTCGACGTAATTTTCGATTCTATGCTGGCAAAGAGACTCTCAAATCCAGGGAAATTCGCCATTGTTATTGCGAAATCACCACAGACAAATGTAATTACAACAGATGTGTTTGTCAACCACTCTTCCAAAAAGTTTTGGGCGAGTTCATTTGTTTGACGGGGTCGTATACGCATACCGATCTCTACCAAATTAGTCGGTTGTCACATTTGAAAGGAAAGTCATACTTTATATTATATTAAACAGCCTTGTAGGCTGATCAAGTATAGGATGATATAAAGAATGAAACTATTAGCAGATAGTGGAAATACAAACTTTGTATGAGAAATAATTAATCAAGGAATAGGATCTTTATACATTTTTTTTCTTTCTTTCTGGTATAGTAGTGCAACAACAGTACTACTAAAATTGTATTTCAATATATTTCACTCTCCTAACAAAATATTCCTTTCTCTCTCTCTCTCTCTCTCTCTCTCTCTCTCTCTCCCTACCACTCCAATCCCCTCTTGATTCACACCATTAGTGTGTAGGGTAATTTGTGTATTTCTATTTCCTTGTCTCATTTTGATTTTGATTTTTTATTGATTGCTATTTCTGTATATTTTGTATATCTTGATTGTATTGTTTATTTTTTTTTGTAATGTGAGTGGACTCTATGACAAACATCATTTGTGCTGATCAGGGTGTTCCATCCCACAAATCAAAAAATAAATTATATTTATTTTTATTTCCGACTCAGTTTTATGTAATCATTTAGTTATGTTACAAACCTTTAACTTGAAGAAAAACATACATATTTAAGTCAATAACCTTCTTTACAACAGTAAAAAGTGTATTTATTACAAACATTATAAAGGTTCATAAGAAGTTACAAAAACATGAACAATTCAGTACTGCTATAATGGAATACACAGGATTGTACGCAATATTATGGCACAGGCACATGAAAGACTCAGCTGCCATCATTTATATGTCAAGGTTAATTCATCCTAATATTAAGTTGCTTTTAATAAAGGCTTAAAAATGAGAAAAACAGATCAGTGAAATTTTGAGGAAAATCTGCTCAAGGATTAGAAAGATGAGTAGTAATCAAGCAAACAAAAATTCTCAACTCTGCGATTTTCTTTGCAAGCACCTCTTCTATTCACTCCATACCAAAACATTTATTAACTTCCATATCCTTCTTGAACTAGTGCTTTTACAAATTGCTCTATGAAATATAATTATTCCTACTTCCCTTGCCAACAATCAAGAAAGAAAGTTGAAATTCATGGCACTTTTTCTTTTACTAGTATAGACAAATGGAAGAGGTGCTTGTAAGGTAAACCAGAGGGTTGCCAACTTGCCTTTTAATTGATTAATTTCTAACATTCATAACTTTCTTTGAATTCACTTGATTTTCCTAAAACTCTTACTGATCTATTTCCTGCCTTTATTGAAAGCAACTTGATAAAAAGGTTGACCACCTTTAAAAATAAACACTGTGATTTGGCATTCCTTCTAGATAATAAACCCTTTGTTTGATATGTCATGCAAATAACAATTCATTATTCTTAATTGATTTAAGAGTTTTAAAAACATTTTGAAATGGATAATTAGAAAATTGCAACTTTGTTGATATTTCAATCACACTATTAAGAAGTTACAGAGAGGATTGTCAATTTCTACAGTTGTACAAAAGAAAAAACTAAGAGAAAAAGCTATTATTAAGATTCAGAAGGAAATTTCTTCCTCCTAGTAAATTAGATATTCAGTATGATTAGCCAACTGCTTATAGATCTATTAACAATTTAAAATTGATTTGGTTTAACCTAAGAATTGGATAACTATCTTACCACTATCCCACTTTATGAGGATACCTGTGCATTGCAATCACTAATTAATAACAGATCATTGTTGTGCAAAAGGTGATGTGCAAGCTCACCTAAAACTATGTTAAATCTGTGCAAGAGGTAGTGCTACCTTCCCTTTCTTAATTACATATCAAAACACATTTTAAATACACATTCCATACTTAGTACATTTTAAAAAATTACTCCTTATTCTATATTCATCATTAATGTTTTATATTTATACAATATTACTTAAGATAGTACGGTATAAACTTGTGCTTTAAATTCCATTCATGACCCTTAACAAATACAAACAGGTGCATTTCACAATAACATGTAGAAATCCCATTACAAACCCCAATACAAGTAATATAAATAGTAAAATACGAAAATTATTAAAAAAGCTTATTGCCCTTTCTTTGTTCTTTCACCCTCTGGTTAATACTTGTACCTGATAGTGCCGATACATTATGAAACAGATAATGTAATGGAATGATTCATGCAGAGCTTTATCACACACAAAGATTGTTTGGGCTTACAAAACGATGTTGACATTAATGGTATTCAATATTCATTGCCACTTTGAGTCATGTACATGTATTACCAGTCTCTTGATCAAAGGCCATGCAAACTGTGAATAATGCAAGGCACAATGTTCATATAAATAAACAATTATCGGTCTATACCTACTAATTCAACAGGTGACGTACAAGTTATTTTTTTAAATGTTTTCAGATATTGTGCATGTTCAACTGAAAACTGAAGACAAAAACAAGTACTGGTAAGAATATCAAGGAAGACCCCACACAAACAGACCATGAACACAAACTAGATATGAATCAAATACACAATTATAAAAATAACTGCACATATATCTTAGAAAACATAATACTGAGGTGAATTTTGTAAAATGATGGAAGAGAAAAATTGATGTTTTAGTTTACATTTAATATCAAGAGTTACCTAGACAAGTCAGCTGCACACAAGGTGTTTATTTTATTGCCAGAGTTGAGGATATTCAGGCATGCTAATGCACAGAGCAGGCCCAGACAGTCTCTCGGTACAGGCACAGTTTCTAGGTACATGCACAAGTTCTTACCAAAGAGGAAAAGGGGCCTCACAGAAGTTTCGTCTGAAAGTTGGTGTTGTCAGAACACTACCGGTAGCTTAGCAAATTTGGCAGTTAGCAATCCAAACAAACAGTGTATACAGAAATTTGGCTGGACTCTTCGACCCTACGTGCAGCTGGCCTGACTTGTATTGTTCACCGTAGATACCTTAGTCACACCGATGAGACCAAAACCAGACTGAGAATATACGGAAGCGCAAACATTTTATTATCCTGAAAGGCCAACAGTCTGTCATTTTAGGGTCAATTTGAAGTCGGTTGATGGTGTGACTAAGGTATTACCTCACTGTGGCATTCATTCTTTTGAAATAAACAAAGAATTGATTGAATACAGAAAGAAGAGGCCCTACATGCAGTCAGCATGAACCTAAATTTCATCAATCATTCGCAGAGAGGCGCGAGTGACGTCGTAAATTCTTCTTACTCTTCTTCGACCCAACACTAGGTCCTCTTGCCCGCCTGGCTCCTGATGATGACAAACAAGGGCTGTTGCCATGGTAATTCATCTTGCACTTGACGCAGAATTCAAATTGGCAATGCACACCAGAGCAGGAAGCCTTCCTGGTCTTGGTTTCAATCAGAGCTGGCGAACCACACTTGCACCTCTCCAGCTTTTCACCTTTCTTGAGTTGTTTTGCAACCTGTCACATACGACAATCCAAATGAAACTAATTATATAATCAACCAGAGTCATATTTGGGGGGAATCTTTAGATTAGAGTGCAATTTAAAAGAACAGTAACAAAAGATAAAGGACAGAGAAGTCTACTTTTCAATTTTGAAAGTCACCACTGACATTTCTTCAGTTTAAATCCTTGGAAATCCTAAAATTCAAGTAAATAAGTCTACAAAATGAAACTAGAAAAGATTAATGATCCAATATCTATTTTTATTTAAAAATGAATCCTAAAAGATTTTCGACATTATACAGGGACATTTGGTGTTTATCATATCTAGCATGAAAACAGACTCATATAGGCTGGAGCCCTGTATGATCTTTGCGATAGGAAATCTATAAAAAAAAAGAAGCTTGAAACAATCTGAAGCAGCTGAAAGAGAGATGACAATGCCTGACACCAGGTGAAACCTTAAAAATTTGGAATCCTTTATTATCATAAAAATTTTGTTTCCAATAACATAAACATTATTTGGAAATATAATATAAACGTCATCTAATGAAGGAATTTCAATCTTAATTATGTTTAATTAGCCTGTACACATTTGTGCATGTACTACCAACTCTTTCTTTTCTCTTTACTTTGTAGAATTATCTGTGGCCATTGGAGCCCAGCCTTGGAAAGGCCAATGGCCTCTGCTAGCTCCTCCATATTCTTTGTATTGTTTATATAATTTGTTATATGTGTAACATATTGTTGAATGTATTTTTAACGAGAACTGGAAACAAAATGAATGAACAACATTTGACTTACCTCGCAGAATTTGTCAAAGTTGGTTGCTTTCATTGTTGGGGTGCTTGCAGCCGTTGGTGTACCTAACCACTGCACAGAAGACAGTGGAGTACCTGGCCCTGTCACATGACGTCCACTCCTTGATAAGGAGGATGGAATGTTCTCCTGTAAAGAGGAAAAGAATCCACTTTGATCTTAACTCAGTTGTTGATATATTAATACCACAAACATACCGGTAATGTTGAACATTATGACACCTGTATTGTCTAAAAAAAATGATCAAGTAACAGTGCCTATACTGCCTAGTGTGAGTGGCAAGTATAATCATCACTATGTTCAAAGAACTGTGAAACCCTCTCGGGGTAATAATTTCATAAAATTATTTGTGAAAGGTGTGATGTCCCTAGAAAACAATAATTTAAATTACTGATGAAGTTGTTATAGGTGAAGCAACATCGAAATGTTCATTTTTTGATATTTGTTTTAATTGTTGTTTATATTATATATGTTCATTTTTTACAACTAATAAATAAATTCATTGCCAGTAACCTAGCCAATGTGTTTATCTGTCTATCATGTACTAGTACACAGTCTACATTTTGAAAAATTTGTTTCATTTTATACTCTTGATTACCCCCATTCACTAAATCTATGACCTACAATATATATCTGAAAATAAATGAACATTCCAATTCATAAACTGAAAGTTTTTGCATTGTAAATAACATTGTGGACTGCAAAGGAAAGCTTGGCTCACCTTCCAATTTAGGAATTCCCTCTTCTTAGCTTTGAGGTAGTCATCTCTGGTCTTTTTAGTAGGAGGATGGGATGAGCATATCCATCGCCATTGAGGGCTGACTGAAGAGAATCTGGATCATCAGGTAAAGGAGGAATGATGCAATGATTATTAATATTGGTAATTTGGTTACTGTAGGTTGACAGTAGGTTTTGAGTTTTGAGTGAGCTGATACTCTTCTGAGTTCTGACAGACATTAAAATAGCATGTAATTGATATCATTGTAATCTATGGCTTATTCAGCTTTCCGTTGATATATAATTCATCCATTTCATCTTTCAGTTCTGAGACATGGTGTTTAAGTAAGCCAGAAGACTCTGTTATGAGGTGTTGGTCACCAATACAAAGGAGACTAATTGAAGATCATTGTGAATAAAAGTATTGGTCAGATGAAACACAAAAGCACTACCAGTACTATTCTTACCACAATGAACAAAAGGCCATTTATCAGATTAGTGGATTTGAGAGACCTGTACTTTGTCATTCATTCTGTGTGTTGCTCTTTTTCTTCTTCTGCTGTTGTTTACTCTTGTTAACGTTTATAAACTCAACTCATTCCAATAGACTTAACACTAATGCACAGAGACCGCCTGGTTCCTGTAAACAATTGGTTAATCTTTTCTTTAATAACAAGTTGGTCATTGAATTAGGGCATGGGGATCTAAAATCTTTTAACATCAGGCCCAGAGCAAGTACTGAACAATTTTTTCTTCCATCTTTATAACTTGTATGGAAATTACCAAGATTACAGAGTTACAAACTGGCAAATTCAACATGATTAAAGATAGTTCTTCCCAAAACAAAATTATATTTCTCAATAATTTTGACTTTTGAGAATATGAAGTTTGGAAAATGTACAAAAAACACATACTCTAATATTGAACACAAGAATGGATTTAAATATGTTCAACTCTATTACAAGCAGAATAATAATAGAACCTAAGAGATGCTTTGATTAGCATTACTTAAAATATGTATGAACTATGAAAAAATAGGGAAAAAATAGACAAATATAAAATATAGTAGGCAAGAGGACTAAAACTACTTACAGCACAAGGTCTTTTGGATCCAAATAGGTGAATATCTTTTTCACAAGATGAGGGGCGATACGGAATAATCTGGACACAATGTCAAACTTTTCAAGAAAAGGGATAGCACAGTTATTGTTCTTGTATGAGACACTGTTCGGAGAAGGCACATACTGATTAGCTCTTAGAAATGGCGATATTGATGAAAATCTTGCCACTGGGGTCTCGCCTCGTGCCAAATCAGGAGTTTGGCGAGAAGAGTTGAGCGAACCGTAGCCCGATTCTGGAGTGTCAGTTCTACAAGTAGCTAACTCAACATGGATTTCAGTCTTGGCTTTTTCAACAAGTTGATCTTGTTTATCTGTTTTATTGTCACAATCTCCAAATTGCAAGACCCTTTTTGGCAAGGTGATGGTGTCAGCTGCAGCTTGGTCAAAGTCTTTGATTTCTCTCCTCCTAACTTCATAGAGCCGGGTGTCTGTCGGAGCTTTATACCACCTTGTTCCGGACCATGTTGGTTTAGCCTTTTCTGGAGAGGACTTAAAAGGACTAAAGCGAAAGGATGACGCACTCTTGACGCGTCGGACTAATCGCTGATTTTTGTGCCTTTTCTTGCTTGGACTGCCTGCAATCGACGCTCCTTTACACACTGCAGATTGATTTTCTCTCACGTAAGTCTCAAATTTGGCTGACAGCTCAGGTTTATGCTCACTCCAGGGGAGTTGTTCAGTGTATGATCTTCCATCTCTGGAATTGGACAGCGAAACATTGCCATCACCAAAGACATCATCTGCAAAAGCAGCTGATGACAAAAATGAATCATCCGCAAAAAGGCATGAAGAGTTGTCAGAATCAGACTTGAAAGGAGACATTGGGGATTCTGTACAGAGTTGAGCCAGCTCTTCAGATATTGGGGGCTTTCCTATTGAGGAGTTTGGACTTAGAAATGGCCCTCTTCTGAAAGCAAGAGGAGAAATATCTCTTTCTTCAAGTTCAAGGCCCATCCCATTCTGATCCAACCACTTTTTAGGACTTGGTCTAGGAGTTGGAGTAGACCTAAAATGCTTCATCCTTTCTAGATTCTTCTTCATACTATCCAAACAGGAACTAGTTGAAAGGTCTGGAACAAGAAAGCCACCTTCATTTGGCTGATCAGCTTGTTTGGTCTCATCTTTGACAAGCTCCATTGCCATTGCAATCTTGTCTCTATCAATATCCGGTGCAGTTCTCTGTTTAAGCTTCAGCTGAGAAAACCTTGCATGCAGCATTTCCACAAAGTTCCAGACTCCAGACTTTGAGTTCAGACTGGAAGATTAAGATCTGTCCAGAAAAAAAGATAAAAGGTGTATAATAAAAATGAGAACAACAGAGTAGATCAGACCTATGAATACGAAATAATTTGGTCTAGATCTCAAAAACAAAAACAAAATAGAATTTGAAATAATGGTTATTTAATTTTATGGCATCTTTTACTCAGTCACTCAGTGATCAGATTGTGTAATTGTAAAATAAACTAATTTTGAAGTCTAACATTAATCAAGATCTAACAAGTCAGATCTTGATCTAGTCATGTAGAAAAGTGAGGAAAAAAGGGCAAAAGTCACAACAACATTGCAACAAACAAAATTAAACAAACACTGAAACAATTAACACTATTTCTGTGACTATGATTTCTGATTTTCTTGTAAAGTGGTGGTAGAAGTCTACTGGGGAACTCTAAAAGTCAGTCAAGTCTAATCCAAAAATAATTTACTTTAAATAGAAGGAGAAGAATCAGACAATTTACTATGAACCAATCAAAAAAGTTTGAACAAAATCAGATAACTAAAATTTACAGCATCCCGTTAGGGTTATTATAAATAATAATGAACAAATCTTCAGTATTATATAACCCTATCACTAACCCAAATGGTGCATGTGAGCGCATGTGCAGGTTTAGCGCTCACATACTGTAAATTTTAGGTTGCTGTCACAAAGTGTCAGCTGTCGCAAAAGGAAATCTTTTCGAAAGCTGCTGCTTAATTTGGTCTTTAATTTCACTCAAACTTTCAAATTAGGGTCTATGTTTAATTGTACATCAAGCATTGAAGTCACTTCAGCACCATTTCTCTCATCTGAACAATGTTAGTTGTTACAACGTCCCTTTAAGTTTGAGTTAACTAAGTCATGACAGATGATGATCTTCTTCTTCTTCTTCTTAGTTGATCCCTCCACTGTTTTGGAGATTCCTGGAGTCCATAAGCGACGGTTTCATGAAACGATGCCAAACCCAATTAATTCCAAAGCCAACGGCCAAGCCCAAGCCATGGGAATGGTGGGCCCATGTCTATAGTAGGCTAGATCTTGATAGAGTCTACAGTAATACAGTTAATAAATAATAGTCACCTCATTTTTTTAAAGCTACGTTTACATGAAAATCATAAAGCCAAGCACCACGTCCACTCTGCTAGCGCCAGTCTAGTCGCCTCAGCTCAGCTCAGCTCCGCCTACACCTGCACCTGTAGCCTCCGATGCAATGTGCAGTGTCTTGAGACTGAGAGTCGGGGCGGCATCGGCCGCACTGTAAGGTGTTGGCTAAAGTCTGAAGAAATCGTGGGTAAAATAGGATAGAATACTACATCTAGGCTATTATTATGACTAAAACTGTAAACATTATTGTAGTCTTTATTCTGAATTTGACCCTGCTAGTCGCTTGCATTTCTCATTTGTTATTTCCCTCCTTCAAATCAGAAAGCCAACTGCAGTTTTTTGAAAGTTTCCCGGGTGATCGCGGCAAAAATTATAAAGCTCCTCGTCCTCAAATTTGGGTTACCTCAAATTTGGCGCAACTAGAAATTCGGGTCAGAGGTTGAATTAAGGCCGAACTTCTCAGCGATTAATTGTGCAAATTTGGAGATCTAGATGTAGATTGAGATTTTTCAAAACAGTTTAGGAAAAATAAAAAAGCTTTATTACATTGACAACTGAAAAAATATATTAAGGGGTCTAGGCTATTTACTATAACAAATATTTTATTTTTATTCAAAATGAATGAAACCTATACATTAAATATCGCCTAATCTTTTCTTCATGAACAAAATTGTTAAATTGGTGTCACATCACACGAGACTAAAAAAGGAGCGTCTATTATTCCACCACTTCAACTAAAATTGGTAAAGTTATGTTACAATTAAATAATATTGTGGATATTTCACATTTTATTAACTCCGGAATTTTAATAACTGGCCATAAAGTGATGAGAATGTGGACGGGGTTATTAAGAGAGCAATACATCTAGATCTATGGCGTGCACGAGAGCAGTGCGAATAGTGTGTTGACCCACATGTCCAAATCTGTGTGGTTATGCTGTGACTGTGTGAGTGTGACGAGGACTAGACCCTAGACCTATTTGGGCGCTTGCCTTGGGCTCAGCTCCGCCGCCGAGCTGACGGCCTCTGGAGCGTTGGCCGGTGGCGAAGCTCTAACTGTCCTTGGTGCAAGTGCGTACACATACATCATCACTATCATCAGTAGTGAGTAGGGGGGCTCGTCTGAGAATGAGTATCGTGCTCGTAAACGCGTACAAAATGCATCCTAAAAAATGAGAATCGTCTGGATTTTTCGCAGATGTTTTTTGTTCATCGGTGCTCTGCGGGTTTCGGGTTAACAAACCGCCTGCTGGCGATGCAAAAAATGGATTTGTGTGAGAAAATAAACCTACTACACCGTCTACTTTATGGGTTGTCTGTCTTCCTGAGGATTTATCACTCATATTTAATGCGGAACTGTTTTTCGCATCACTAATCTGCCGATCAAAAATATGAAACTTCTGCGATAAGCATCAGCATCGGTCTGCATTTACGAAGACGATCCTTATTCTCGGACCAGCACCCCTAATGATCATGACAATACAGTTTGATAGTCTTTTGAGCGATTAAAAAAAAATCCCGCACATGGCATTTAAATACCCTGGCACCCGACGAGGCTTTGATAGCACATGATATACCCAACCAAATAGGATGACCCTTATGAAGCCAACCAATTACAAGACAGGATATATAAAATTACCCTTAGGTCATCCGACCAATTAAGAGAGGAGTTAATTTAATTAATTATAACCAATGACAAAGCATAATATATAAGAGTGATTTGAACTAGTCACCGACAAAAATGGGAGGAGTCTATCTCTTCGCGAGAATGTCAGGTCCCCGGAAAAACAGTCTATTGTCTAACGTGTTGTCGGAAATGAACTCCTGTACATCTTAATGCAGGAATTCATTTCCAACGTGCTTATCGAAATGAACACTTTAATCTAATGCAAGAATTCAAAACCAGGGGTTGTTTACCCGTTCCCTGCATACTATTGGAAACATAATCAATGCTCTTTAACATTTAGGTGTATACCAAGTCAAACTAATAACCGTACAATTAATCAACCCAACCTGGCTCTTCTATGGCTCTAGCGCCCCCTTTAGGTCAATGTGTTGCCCAAATCAGCGTACCACTACATTTATAAAAATGCACCCTGATGTTATTCTTGGTTAAAAATAAGATGTTATAAAAGTTTTGTCAAATGTTTCAGGCATCAGCACATTATAAAAATGATGAAAATTCAACATTCCAATTGTTATAACACATGTTTCAAACATTTCAGTTTACACATTTGAAATTAATATGGGTCTGAAAACTAGAGAATACACTTCTGACTATGGCTTGCCTGCCGTGGCAGATTACCAATCCCTTTAAGGATTTTACAATGTGGAAATAAACGCGTATAATCAGTTTAGTAAGTGGAAAAAGCATTAGATAAAAACGAGGCATATTTTCATAAGATTTCAAATATAGAAAACAATAACTCCCTGTTCAAGTGAATTGTGTAGAAAGATCAAAGCTGAAGGATATTTGTCCTTTTTTTCCAGCCATAGTCTACCAAATTAATGACATGTGAAGGCGCTGCCCATCAACTAAAAAGTTTTGACAGAGATATGACAAGGTCGGTAGTGTCATAACTACTTAGTCAGGATGTTGTCTTTTATCTTGGCAAAGAGGGCTTCGTAAAACACCTAGCGGATAAGTAGCTTACTAATGCTGATTTAGTCAATAAGTTAGACTTATGACGGTTTCGAGAAACAGGCCCCAGTTGCCATGAATATGAATGATGATGATGATGCCATCGATAATTTGTGTGAAGTTGTGTTGTGTTGTGGGTTGGTACTACTATTATTATAACTAGAAGTACTGTCTAGTGTCTACTCTACATTGACTAGAACTTGGAAGTCTTACTCTTAACTTGTCTTTAGCCTCTAGCATTCTAGGGTGTCTGAAAAAATCAACTTCTCAGAAAAACCCATTTCAAATTTCAAGACTCACCAATGTTTCTATCAAAAGATATATTGATGAAATAAATTATCCTTTCTTTATTCTCATTTTTTTTAAACTGTTTTTACATTTTATTTTACATTTTGCTCTCCAGATCCAGAAAAGTTGAACAGAGAATAAGAGGATGGATACACCAAAAGGAGATGGAGGCAGTACTCCAGGCGCTGCTAACAAGACTGCCACAATGATATACATATGTGGAGGTTAGTATGTGGTCATGAGGGCTCATAGAGTTAACATCTTATTCACTGTTTGGAAGGTTTGTCTTTCCAGTCTGTTAAAAACTTAAAATCATTACTAGTATGGAAAAGATATCATCCATTCCAATGTTTATTTCCTTTATAAAGAGAGCAGGGTCATATAATTTTAGAAAAAAAACAGCTCTGATTTTTGTAATTTTGTCAATCACAAAATAATGGATTTATGTAATAATTTTTAATCAAATAGGAAGTCATAGACTATGGAAAGAAGAGTGGCAGCTAAATACCCATGAAAATAAATTCGATAACAGGCTAAAGACATGAAATGTATGTCAAGTTCATGTTTTTTTGTCCTGTTTTTTTCTTCTCCAGAATGCCATCAAGAAAATGAGATTCGAGCAAGGGATCCCATCCGATGCAGAGAATGTGGCTATCGCATCATGTACAAGAAACGCACCAAGAGAAGTATCCTTTTTAGTGAATATATTTCACTGACATGTATAAGGAAGAAAATTGTTAGCGTGTTCTAGCAATATTTCCCTTATATTTAGCTCTATTTAAATGTTTTGAGGTTTAATTATTATATTTGTATATTTCATGTAAAGAAATAGAAACAACTTTAGATCTCATTTACTATTGCAGAATGAATTAATGATGAAGAACACATTTTGAACAAGGCAGAAGTAATGATTATTGGATTATTTTCACCATTAATGAGTAGAAGTTGAAATGTTCCTTAATCACCAAGTTAACTACATGCATTTGTTGATCATAAAGCTTTTTTTTTCTTTCATGGGAGAATTTTTTTTTCTTCTTCTTTTCATAAGGTAAAGTATAGGTCCACATATATATATATATTAATTTTAAAATGTCCGTGCCATTCCTAGCGTCGTAATTATTATAGTAAGAGTTATGTATATTGCCAAAACATCATTTCAATTCAAAAATGTATTCAGTCATCAACGGTGTGTGTTCTTTTGTTGCAGATGCCCCTCTCGACAGCTAAGAAGTGTGCTTTTAGAAGAGAAATCTAAGTAAAACATTTGATACTATTGTTGTTGTCCTTAACTCATCTTTGTGTTACAGTGGTGGTGTTTGATGCCAGATGACAACACCTCACCAGGCTCTTACTCTTTATGTAAATAATCACTTCAGTTCCTGTCTTCATGAATGTGTATCATGTTTGTCGCCAAATGTTCACAGATACCTGCACGGTCAAGTGCCCTCTTGTGCATTTCAGTGTTTTCTTTATATTAACAATATGTAAGAAACTGTTGATTGCATTGTTGATAAATGTGAGGGAGCTTTGGGGAGGGATTCTAAAGAAGTATATTGTGCTGTACCCAGATTCCATGAGTCAACATTTGTTCAATTTTATTTCCTTCTCTGATGTATTTTGTTTCTTTACTTCATGGTTTTGATGTTTTGATAACAGCTTTTAAAAAAAATCATGAATCTGGGGAAGCTTCTCTGTGAACGATTTCTAGTGAAAGAAAGTACAATGTATCATTTAAATCATTTACAGCTTGTACATTTGGTATGTTATATATTGTATAGGGAATACAGAAAATGATCTTTAAAATTTGTTTTCCTCAAGATCTCAAATAATGTTATAATGGTCTTTATGAGTTCAAACTTTTTCCCATGACCCTCACAGTTTAAAACAATGCTGTGCAGATTCATTTGTTTGTAAAACCATAGAAACGATACCAGTCGCTATCTGCTAGAAGAATTGTATAGTAATTAAATGACAGCAACGGGGCTTGTTCAGATTTTCATGAGGAATAGCATGGGAAACAATCCTACCACTGAATCATCAGTATTTCACTTGACCAAAGATTCTGTATTGACTTGTATAGGGCACTGGTTTTTTTAACATATACCAAATGTGTCCACAAAAGGGTCAAAAATGAAATTATGTTTGCTTACTTCAAACGTGTATTTTTAGGATCAGGACTATTCATATTTATGAGAAATGCAAATTTTGGAGCTTAATCTATCTCCTTATTTATTCACCAGATATGAATACTATGAGTTCTTACAATTTTATTGTGAACTATAGCATATCTAATAACTGTGATATAAAACTCATTTGCTATTAACTACACCTTTAAATATGTTGGGTCTTTAAGAATATGTTTCAGAGATTATTCATGCAAATTTTTGAGTTTCTATCTTAAAAAATACAGATTATGTATACCTTGAAAGTGAAAAATAGCTCTAAATTTGGGTTTTGACAATAA